GTTTCCCTTGTTTTTTCCCCAACATCTATTTTGAGATTCTTGCTTGCTGGAGGGATTTTAATAGTTTCATAAAGGTTAACGCTGAAGAAATCCTTAGAGATGATGACAATGCAGTCGGGGACAGACCTCATCAGTGGAGCACTGGCCTCTCGTCTGAGTGTTTAGTCCAACCTCCAGCACAGTAGGGAGAGTGGCTGAGGCTAATGATGATGACAGTAACAGTGAGAGTTGCCCCTTGCTGGCCTTGCTCGAAGAGGATAAGGCCTGTAGTGCTCACTAGAGCCCAACGTAGCTTTAGAAAGTGTGTGTCGGGGGGCTGTTCCATTTACCAGATGAGAAAACTGGGGCCCAGGGACATTAACTTGCACAAGATCACACAGCTGGTACGTAGCCCAGGTTGACTTTACAATGAAGCATAAAAGGTATAAGGTGTGCATCCCTGATACTTTTAGGGGCTGTGGAAATATCCTCGTTTCTGAAGAAAAAAAAAGATTGAATTTTAGTTGAAGCAAACATTTAATGTGTAATCTTTAAAACTTTTATATTCATACCAACGTAGTTGTGAAATAAAAAATTGAATATTTGTGTATTTTGTGAAAGAAAGGAAGTGCGAAGGCTAAAGTATCTAGGGCTGACAAAAGTCATAATGTGACGCTGATGCAGTCAGAAGATAAATCAGGTCAGAAATCAGGTCAGTCGGCCTCCCAAATCGAGTCTAGTCTAATCTGAGTTTCAGGAGAGGAAATTGGGCAGATGGATGAATGAAAGAACCTAGTGGCCGGTTTCTAGTGACCCGACATGGTGCATGTTGCGACAGCGCCCCCTGGTGGGCTTTCAGGAAACTTCCTTTCAGTCATAGGATGAGCCTAGAGGGGAAGGCCAGGCCTAGGCACCTGTGTCATACACATTCTTTGTAAACACACACACACACACACACACACACACACACACACACACACACAGGCACGCACACACACACATGCGCGCAGTTATTCCTCAGAATTCATGTTTCTAAAGTGTTTTTATCAGTGCTGTCAGATAGGAATGCCAGGTAAGGGCTGGTGAGCTGAGCTGAGCACATGCTTTGCATGAAGGAGGCTCGAGTTCAATTTTCAGAACACAGAGTCCCTCAAGCCTGGCCCCCAAACAAAACAAAACAAAACAAAACAAAACAAAAACCAAACCAAAACAAAAAATCGGGTAAAGCCACTGTTTTCTAGGAGTTATATTAGAAAAAAAAGCAAATTTTTTTTGTTTTCGCTTTTTATTTATTTCGATTTGCTCGAGCGGGCCCAGTAACGTCTCCATTGTGAGACTTTGTTGTTACTGTGTCTGGCATATCGAATTCGTCACGGGGAGCTTGCCAGGCTCTGCCGTGCGGCGAGATACTCTCGGTAGCTTGCTGGGCTCTCCGAGAGGGGCGGAGGAATCGAACTCGGGTTGGCCATGTTGGCTGCGTGCAAGGCAAATGCCCTACCCGCTGTGCTATCACTCCCGGAGAGCCTGGCAAGCTACCGAGAGTATTCGATATGCCAGACACAGTAACAACAAAGTCTCCAATGGAGATGTTACTGGGCCCGCTCGAGCAAATTGATGATCAACGGGAGGGCCTTTACTTACTTTACTTATTTATTTATTTATTTATTTATTTATTTTTACAAAGCTTTCGGGTTTAATTCTCGGTCACACAATGAAACACTCGTACCTTCACCAGTGCCCATTCTTCACCACCAGATACCCCAAGTATATCCCCATCCCACACCCTCCCCCTACCTGTGGGGCAGATGATTTCCAAATTACTCTCTCTCTACTTTGATTACATTCAATATTTTGACCCCAGACCCACCATTATTATTTGGGATTTTACCCCAACACTCAGATCTGCTGAAAAGGCAACAGTAGACAATTTGTTTTCTGTTGCTGGTTACGAATAACATATGATGTCATGTGGCTGCCGTAGTGGCCATGCTATTTTAAAATTCCAAAATTTTAACAATTAAATCTGGAGAGATTTCTTGCCCAAACCTGCTGGGTTCTGAGATTTGTTCCTGATTCTTTGGGATCACAGCCATTAAGCAGCTTGATCAGGAGCCAGAGAGGCCGTTTGTGGGCGGTGACTCAGGGTCTTGTTGGGACGGGGAGGAAAGGGACGGCTCCACCTCCATCTCGTGAGGCCCACGTGTCTCATCACTGCGGGCCCAAATCTGACTGTCCAGTGGCCTCTGGTGGATGACAGCCACCGAACCGCCAGAGAGCAGGTGGAGGGACAGCACCCTTTCCCGCCTGGGGTGGCCCGGCGACAGTAACCTACTGCGTGGCCTGGACGCATTTCTGCCAATAGCCACTGGTTTCGAGATTTTTTTCTGAGTCTCTGGGATCATGGCCATTAAGCAGCTTGATCAGGAACCAGAGAGGCCATTCTTGTGCGGCGACTCGGGGTCTGGTTAGGATGGGGAGGAAAGGGCCGGCTCCACCCCCATCCCGTGAGGCCCCACATATCTGTCACTGTGGGTCCAAACCTGACTGTCCAGTGGCTTCTGGAGGATGACAGCCACCGGGCCGCCAGGGGGAACAGGCCAAGACACGAAACCTATTCCCACCTGGCGTGGTCTGTGCCGGTAACCTACTGCAGGGACCAGATGAATTTCTGCCAAAAGCCGTTGGGTTTCGAGATTTGCTTCTGAGTCTCTAGGATCATGGCTGTTAAGCAGTTCGATCAGGAACCAGAGAGGCCATGCCTCCAATTATATAGCTAAGCCAGAGGTGGTTCGCGGGTGTGTCTCCCACATACCTAACTTTTGGCCGTTTACTTTCTTGGTAAACTCTGCTCCAAGTTGTTGGGGTCTGGCCAAAGTCACAGCAGCAATTCTGGGGTATCTGGAAGTCTGAAGGCGCCATCAGGTTGCTGCTGATGCACTAGCCTCACAGGTACAGATTGACCTGCTGACGGCACCATACCCTGTTTTCGCTTTTTAAATTTGATTTTTATCTCAATGTTACTTTCTTTCTCCTCTACTTATGTAATTTATTATTTACAATGCCGAGAATTCAACTTAGTATCCTAATAATTTTGCACACATAAATTAAGGACCCAATAAAATAAAATTATTGGGACTTGGGTGGTGGATCAAAAAATAATAAATTTGAGGGCTGGAGTGATAGCACAGCGGTTAGAGTGTTTGCCTTGCACGTGGCTGACCCGGACTCGATTCCTAGCATCCCATATGGTCCCCTGAGCACCACCAAGAGTAATTCCTGAGTGCATGAGCCAGGAGTAACCTTTGTGCATTGCTGGGTGTGACCCAAAAATCAATAATAATAATAATAAATTTGATTTTTAAAATTTTGTTTCCTTACTCTTTTCTTTAAAAAATTTTTTGGTAATAATATTAATTTTCACAGCGTTTCTTTTTTTGTTTTTTTAATTTCATTTTTTTTATTAGTGAAGCACCATGAGGTACAGTTGTAGGTTTACAAATCTTTGTGCTTGGGTTTCGGTCATACAATGATCAAATACCCATCCCTCCACCAGTGCCCATTTCCCCCCACCCCCCCTCCCACCCTGTCTCTGTGGCAGGGCATTCCCCTTTGTTCTCATTCTCCTTTTGGGTGTTGTGGTCTGCAAAAGAGGCATTGAGTGGCAATCATGTTCAGTCCAGTCTACTTTCAACCTGCATCTCCCCTCCTGGGAGGATCCTCCAAACACCCTTTATTTGGTGCTCCCTTCTCTATCTGAACTGCCCTTTCCCCTAGAATACCCGGCTGGCCTCTAAGCTATGGAGTAATCCTCCTTCACAGCGTTTTTGATCTGACTCTACAGTCAGCAAACAACCAAGGCCCATATCCTATTTTTTTTTTCTTTTTTGGGTCACACCCGGTGATGCTCAGGAGTTACTCCTGGCTCTATACTCAGGTATTACTCAGGCAGTGCTCCAGGGACCATATGGGATGCTGGGAATTGAACCCGAGTTGGCTGCTTGCAAGGCAAATGCCCTTCCCACTGTGCTATCACCCCAGCCCCGGCCCATGTCCTATTTTTTAAAATAAACTTTAGCTGAAACCTACCACACACCATGTGGCTGTGAGTTGCCTGTGATTCTTCCTGTTACAGGGGGACACTGAATAGTGTTTCTGAGGCAGTGCAGCACACAGGCTTGAGAATATTTGCATCTGGTCCTTCACAGAGAAAGTTTGTCAGTCTCTGGTTTAACACAGTGGGGGCTGAATGTGTAATTCGATATTAATGTAAATGTGTAAAACTACATTCATGAGATATTTTAATTTCATCTTACTGAATTTTGAAATTAGATGTGCCTTTTATACTTGGGATACTTCTCAATTTGAATAAGATACATTTCAAGTGTTCATGGAATGCCTGACTGGCTCACGGCCACTGCATAAACAGTGCAGATTTAGAAAGATACAGCATAACTAAATTAACTACAGAATTAAGGACCCCAGAAGAATTACACCCTGACATCCTGGACAGCCACTGTTTGTGTAATGAATCAACCACTTCCCCAGCCTCTAGAATGGTGCCAGCTATGTCCTACCATGCTCAGGAGAACTGAGACAATAATGTCTCAAATCATTTTCAGTAGAACTTAATTTGTAAAATCCCAACTGTGGAAGCCCATCTTTTAAAAAAATTTTTTTATTGTATTGCAATTACATAAACCAGGGCCATATTCTGTATTTTATATAAGCATAAAATCCTAATATAGAATTCCCATATCTTTTCCCTAAAGCCCCATAACACAATGTGATAATGATGATATGGGGTCTGAAAATACTACATACACTCTGCACCCTAGTTTGATTCCTAAGGAAAGGAAAGCAGAACAGAAGAAAACTTAAATCTTGCCCGTTCAATAGCAAGCTTTAGAAAGACTTGAGTAAAACACAAGACAAAATGCTGCTTAACTAAAACATTCATTAAACTACCAAAGGAGACAACCAAAAAGTTAACTATTTGCTGTTTTGGGGGGTACCAATAACATCAGCGGAGAGCGTGAATGCAGTCCCCCACTATCACAAGTTAGGTAGCTGAGTGTTCTACATCTGGGGAAATCTCAGGGGTCAGCACATCCAGAGCGCAATGGATAAACCTCACCCTGGGAAAACCACCTTCGTGATCATGGTATCTCCCCGGGCAGTGCTATCCAGCCCATCTTCTAAGCAGCTTGCAGATAGAGTTCATCAGAATAATGAACATCATTTACTGAGAAGCAGAACAAGGCCCCTTGCTGGGCATTTCCAGGGCACTGTTTTATTTAAAGGCAAGAGTAATGGCAACATCCTCAGGAAACCTACCTTGAAATCTGATGTAGGCTCTGGAACCTTCTCAGCTGCAAAGGCACCCGACTTTGCCCCGCTCTTTGCCCTTCTTCTCACTCTGTGATGTCCCTGCCCCCTTTGTACCCCAGGAGCAGTAAAATCAATGTTCCTTGCATTCAACTGCAGGTGGTATTCGAGTCAGGCTGGCAGGATCAGCAGCAGTCTGGTCCCAGACTGGTCTTGCTCCCACTCTGCTTCTTGTTCTTTCCCCCTGGAAAACTTGCCCCAAGACTGCAAGAGAAACCCAAGTGAGCTCCATCTGCATTGTGAAGGAGTCTGGTAGCTCTGCGAAGTTCCAGGTCAGGGGGCGATCCGGGAGAACTCTGGAACATTTCTCTGGAGCTGATCCTCATACGAGCCATGAGTTCGCCCAGCTCTGTGTTAGCCAGCACCGGAACTGATGTATTGACTGCAGAGTCAGGTTCTCAGGGCCCTGGCTAAGTAAGACGTGCCAGGGAGCACCTAGTTTCTCCCCTAACCAGGCTCCCTGCATGCCCGAGGCCCCAGAGGATTGAGGACTCCATGCACTGGGGCTGGGTAGGCTGCACGTGCATTATTCCATGAGTCTGTGATCTTGGAGGTGAACTTACCTCAAGTAAAGGAGTAAGGTTGACCGAGACAGCACAGTTCCAGCACCGAGGGATATGTGAAGGATTGCATCGTGTCCCCCACCCCACCTTCCAATATGCCAGAGTCCTAACCACCAGGATCTCTGAATGTGACCTTATATGGAAATGGGGTCCCAGCAGATGGAACTGCCTTAAGATGAGCTGGAGAAGCCCTGATGAAGACCCAAGCAAACCAGGGGTGCGAGCTTTCCTGGCAAGCACCAGAAGCTAGAAGAGGCAAAGGCAAGGAAGGGTCCCCCTTCTGAGGAAGCGTGATTTCCAGGCCCCCAGAGATGTGCGACAATGAATTTCTGTTTTAGAGTCAGACCTGGTGGTGCTGAGATCTGTTGGTGCCATCTGGGCAGTGCTGGGGCTTGGGGTTGAAGGGGGGCATGTGGTGCTGGGGATGGAACTCTGGGTATCACACACGACACACCCCAGGCCAAATTTCTCAGCAATCCTAGTTTTTGCTCCACTGTCATGGCAGCTCTGACAGACACTCATAGATGGGGACTTCTAGGGTTGGTGGGGCGGGGGGGGGGGGTGTGACTGGGCTCAAATCCTACCAGAGAAACTCCAGGACACACCAGGCACAGGGAGGGCACGGCCAGAGGCTCAGGCACTTTCTATCCTTCCCCGGGATGGGTACAAGATCACCTGGTGGTCACCTGGCTTGTCCTCAGTAGTAGAAAGTGACTGGAAATTGTCAGTCGGCTCCTGGCCCCTCTGTCTCTCGCCTGAGCTGGATGTAGATGGCTGGGAGGACTCTATAGTCTGGTGGATGCCAAATCTGTCAGCAGAAGCCTGGGTACCCCATGGAACATCAGATTGGGCTGTGCACTGAGAAATACATCTTTATTGGGACAAACCAGGGAATCTGGGGAATACTTTATTATAAAGTGCAGGTTCTTGGGAGCTAACAGAAGCTGTACATAAACCCGGGAATTACTTGTTCCTGACACTGGGCTGTCCTGGGACCAAACGACGCCGCTCCTGGCTGGTCCCGCCAATGGAATGGGGAGCGAGTCAGGTGGAGAGTCCCTACTCTGAGCACCTTCAGCACTTAGGGTCAGCTACAGAAGCACTGGACGTGCCGCCATGCGCAGCAGAGTGGCTTATGACCCCAACCCTGCAGATTCTGGGGCGAGGAACGCTGCAGGATGCTGGTCCAGGAGGGCAGGCAAGAGGCAGTGGCTCTGCCTATAAGGGGTGCCCACTGGCACGCAGGCTTGTCCACCCAGAACAGAGGGGGCAGTAGGCCCCAATCTGGGGCAGAGGAAGAAAGCACAGAGGGCTGATCTGGCGCTGCTGGCTCACATACGCGGTTCGGGGGTCTGCAGGAGGTGGAAGACGCTACTCCGGATGTAAAAACTCTTTGTGATGGGATTGCACCTGCCATAGGTGGGGGGCCTGGCATCCTTCATGGCATCCCCTGGAACACAGCAAAGACCCGGGTGAGCGAGGGGCCGGCAGGCACCACATAGGGCTGACGGTCAGCAGGGTCATGGCTGCATCTGTCCTCAGCTGGCATGAAGTGTTCCTGCTTTTAGTCACACCTGCCTGTGCTCAGGGATCCCTCCTGGCGGTGCTCGAGGGACCTTAGGGGATGCTGGGGATGGAATCTGGATCAGCCGCTTTCGAGGCAAGTACCAGCGTGTACTATATCAATGACTAGGTAAAGTGCTTTGCAGGCTTGGAACAGCTGATGCCGCTGCCCTGGGCCACTGCAATGACCCTGATAGCTTCCTAGGACCCAGCAAGAGAAGCCTGATACCACAATAGCTAGCTTTTCCCCATGGCCAGAATTTTGCCTGATGGCTAGCTCTCTGGCCACTGTAATTGTTAACTAGTTTGATGCCAAGCTCAGCTCCCCGTCATCATATTTCTCCCCCAAGTGTCCCTCCCGAGGACAACTGAGTTCCCCAGGCCTGTTGAAATGAGGTCGCTCACAGCATTTGATAGACAGGTGCTAAGTACCAGGCACTCGAGAGTACTTTCTCTAGGTAAAAGGGCATTTGGGGGCAGCACTGCTGGTCCTGGATAGTGCCTTCCAGCCCTCTCCCACTATCTGATCAGAATATCCCCACTACTGGTCAGAAGACCCTACTTGGGTCTGGATTACATTGGGTAGAGGGTAGAGTTGATCAGAGAAGGTTCTGTCCTCTGTCCCACAGCACCCTGATCTGAAGGGCAGAAGGCTGGACATTCACAGAATGTTCTAGAGATTCTGGGCGCATCTATGGGTTTAAGCAGAACCACCCTAGAGGGAAATTGTCTTTCTGTTGGTCTTTCTGAAAATAACCATGCAGCTCTTCAAAATCAGCCCCATGATTGGAGTGATGGGCAAAAGCCAGGAAGCTCAGTTACAAGTGAACTTCAGGTCAATGACAACATCCTTTTGGTGGTGTTGTCATAACTAAGTCCTGTACTATATTTGGAGTCAGTTTCTACCAAAAAATTAGTCTCACCATTGAGTCAGAGAGAGAGAGAGAGAGAGAGAGAGAGAGAGAGAGAGAGAGAGAGAGAGAAGGAGAGAGAGAAAAGGAAGGAGAGAGAGCGAGAGAGAGGGAGAGAGAGAGAGACCAGGAGGGAGGGAGAGGGAGAGAGAGAGGGAGGAAGGGAGGAGAGAGAGGGAAGGAGAGAGATTCAGAGACAGAGAGCGCTCAGAGGGCCGAAGTGCATGCTTTGCATTCAGTCCCTGGTCTCCCGAGCACCTGGGCACCTCCAGGAGTGAGCCTGGAGCACTGAGCCAGGACTAGCCCCTGAGCACCTACCGTCAAACAAAACTGCACAGTAAACATTATGTTGGTCTGAAATGCACAGTAACAGGCTTTCTGCATTCACATTTGCTCCCCGGGCACCGCTCTGCCTGCAGAGGCTTCTCGGGCTGTGAGCACAGAGCAGAGGCACAAGGAGGAACGAGGCAGGACAAGGCAGAAGGTGCAGCGCTGCTCGGGGACTCGCAGAGAGAAGGGGATCCTCCCCAGAAGAACCCATGGCTCAGGACTCTGCAAATGCGCCTCCCGATCTGCTTATCAGAACAAATCCTACAAGCACTTTCTCCTGTACTAGCCCCACACTCTGGTGTGACCTGCAGACCAGCAGGAGCTTGTTAGAAATGCACCTCTCCCCTCCCCGCACCCCCCCCCCCCCCACCCCATACCCGGGAAGTGCCTGTGCCCTGGAACAGAGGAAAAGTGCAAGTTTGTAGCATGAACAGCTGCAACATCTTATATCTGTGGCTCCACAACTGCCCCTTTCTCCTCTGTATCCCCTGGGGCAAAAGGGGTCTGAGATGCATCTGGTGCTCAATAAACATTTGCTAAAGGAATGAACCAGAATTCAAGTCCAGGAACCCTCATTTCAAACGGAGCCGTGGCCTGGGGCTGGGGGAGAGCTTGTGATGAGGCCCTGGGTTCGGTCTCTGAGACCAGAAAACAAAGCCCTACTTTCAGCATGCATCTCCCATCCCGAGCGGGTCCTCCAAACACCCTTTACTCGGTGTTCCCTTCTCTATCCGAACTGCCTTTTCCCCCAGCATGTGAGGCCGGCTTCCAAGCTGTGGAGTAGACCTCCTGGTACTTATCTCTGCTATTCTTGGGCGTTATCCTCACGAAGGCCACTTACCACAACACCCAAAAGGAGAGAGAGAACGAAAGGGAATGCCCTGTGACAGAGGCAGGGTGGGGTGAGGGGGATGGGGTGGGGGTGGTGGGAGGGATACTGGGATCAGTGGTGGTGGAGAATGAGCACTGGTGGAGGGTTGGGTACTCGATCATTGTTTGACTGGAATGCAAGCACGAAAGTTTATAACTGTAACTGTACCCCACAGTGATTGACTAATAAAAAATTTAAAAAATAAAAAAAAGAAACTTGTAGATAAACAAAATAAAAACATTTTTAAAAAAGAAAGGAAAAAAAAAAGAAAACAAAGCCCTAGCCTCTCTTCTGTTCTCCTACACTCACTCATTCTGGGGCGGTCAGGGTGTCACCAACACCCAGCTCTGTCCTGCAATCCTGAACAAAAGGATTCCAGGCAGAGTGAGTGAGTGAGTGTGTGACCCACTCTCATCACAGGTTTTCTCAAGTCAAGCTGGTGTCAACACTCTGTACCGATATCAGTGTAATTCCATTTGGCAGATGTGCAAACTGAGGCCTGGCAGTGGCAGTGGTGGTGGTGGGGTAATCCAAATTCTTGCTTGAGCCCAGTCAATCCA